GTGAACCAAGGCAAAGGCAACAGAGTCACAGAGGAGGGTACAAATGTGAGACACAAGGGCAGAGTTAGAACTCTAGGCTCAATGATATAGAATTTGAGGGTAAGGGAGAAGTGTGACAGAATTACTTGCAGGTTTCTGGCTTGGCAATTCAGGTAGCTATGGTGCAGGTCATTATCTTGGATATAAAATTTAAAATAAAGAGTTCTTTAAAAATCAGCTAAACATAATAAAAGCTTACAGTAAGTATGCGCTGTCCAGGGAGTGAAGTCCAAAAGAGTCAGTGCTCAGCTACTAACACACAGTACACATTACAAATATTACAAAATATTAACTCGCTTAGTCCTCATCATCGTCCTTTGAGATGTTTTCATCTTATAGATGGGGAAACTGCTACATAGGAAGTTAAAGAACTTCTCCAAGATTCCATAGCCAGTCAGTTTTGGAGCTGGGATCCCAACCTTGACATGTAGCTCTAGCATGTAACTCTCTATCCCTGGCCCTTCTTTCCAGCTCTTGCCCTAGTAATTAGCTGCTGAGTCAGAAACTAACAGTGACCCCCTTGACAGCTGGCTCATTCATTACCCACTACACTTCACTGCCTGCTGGTACATTTAAAGAGAAAGAAAAACAAAGGTCTAGATGAAAAATATAGATTTGGGTGGCTTCCAGTATACAAATGGACAGTTAGTAAAATTATAGAAAAGAAAATGTGTAAAGTCAGAAGAAAAAAAAAAAGGTAGAATGAGCTACTAGAGAAAACTACCTGCTAGGCAAAGGTGGAGACGCCAGAAGCAGCAGCCAGTGAGAGGGATGTGAGAGGCAGAAAAGGAAAGTTCTAAGGCAGGACATTTGTACCCCAGGCAATCCTTTGCATATAATCTACTCTCCTCCATAAATGTCTTTAAAGTGAATCATTACCTTCAAACAAGGAACCTGTCAAAAATCAATATTATATGGCACATTCAAAATAATTTATTATAAAGTTGAGCAGAACTCAAATCATATGGGCTTGCAACTTTTCTAGACATTGAGAGTTTGTGAAAGGTACACTGTCTAATTAAAAATGAATAGCCAAGGCATCATAAGAAATCATTCTTTACATTTATATATAGCTAAGAAGATTTTAAAAGTTTCATTCAAATCCTTTCATAGCAACAAAACATGTTACTGTTATCCGTTTTGTTGAGTATCACATGAAATATTGGCTCTTTGAAGTTTTGAAACTGACAGATATAAAACTATATCCTAAAAGAGGATTTAGAAAAAGTATACATGAGAATTCGTCACTTCTCACTCAAAAGAGTTACCTGACTATCAGTAAATCTAGAGGTGCATTTCTCTGTAACTCTCTGTTATCTAAGAAGTTTTGTTCACACATTTCTTATCAAACTTTGCAATTCTAACCCTAAACACAAAAATATAGTAGGAAATAAGTTCCCTCAAGATACAAAAAGATGGACTCACTTCCAATTCAAGACAAGTATTTCCTTGGGTAATAAATCTTGATTTTCAGGCCAAAAATTTAATGTGCATACAAATCATTCAAAAGGATCAAGCTAAAAAGAATATTCTAACTAAGTAGGTCCAAAGCAATACTCATACTCTGCCATTTCTAACAAGCTTCCTCCTGAATGACATGGATTCTCTGGTCCACAATAGTTACTCAAATGTGGTCCTTGGACAAGAAGTACTGGCAGCACCTGGGAACTTGTGAGGATTGAGCTTCTCCCAGACACCAAACAGAACATAAGAATATCACCTACTGAAATGGCTGATCCTAGAAATCTAAAAGTTTTTTCCTTAAAATCCATCTACAACTCATTCACTTACTTTTTATATTTTGTTGTTATTAAAGATTACTTTTCCACTATCTAAAGCTTAGAGTCTCCAGTTCTCTCTGGCTCCTCACCTACAATCCCGTATGAGTCTACAATATGCCAATCAGATGGGACTGGTGATTTTTTACTACAAATCATCCTCCCTCTCAAGAGGTTTTGTTATGGTGGTTATAGTTGATACTTCCCCTCATCTGGGCAGCCTCTCTAGTCACTGCGCCTAATTTCTCAATGAAATGTGTTCTCACCATTCTCTGAACCAACAACTTATTCCACTAAGGAATTTTTATTTCATTAGAATGTTTACCACATTCTGCTGAATATAAGACATATTTATATGTGTGAGGCCAACCTTACGGGTGACTGAGTTACACTCCCCAGCTGGGTGCTGAGGCACTCAGTCACAGAAATGGGTGTGTCTTGCTACAGCCCCATGGGTGAAGCTATGCTCACCTGTTCCTTTGTAATATAACCCCTTGCCCTGTTTAGGATAGAATCTTCCATGGAAGTGCCTTGTGTGTGTCCCCTTCTCTTACTGTGCCCTTGGGTGTGGCCTATGCAGGTGTCAGTCAACCTGCTGACAGTGGACATCATGAAGATAGACTCAGTCCCCTGAAACCTGACCCCTTGCCTCATTTGAATAGCTTCTCCTCAATAAAAGGGGTCAGCGCGTGATCTCGCTCGCTCTCTCTTTCTGCGGACCCTTAAGGTCAGAGGAGCCGTCACAGCTACCCCAAAGAAAAAGGTATCTGTGTCTCTTGTGTGGTTATTTCGTGCAGCCCAGTTAGCCCAGTTTAACTAGAGTGACCCCTGAGCCTTTTAGTCGCGAGAACAGAAACCCGTCATTTATATGTACAAGGCTAGGGTCTTTTGACCTATTGCTGCTGCTGAACTATAAATTATTTGAGGGCAGGAATCTTTATTGCTAATTCTGATATTCCTTGCATTGCTTAACATAGTTCCTTACTCATATAATACTCAATAAAAATCCAAGAAAATGAAATAAAGCACTATTATTGTTGAAAACTTAATATAAACACTCATTCATCACAAATTTAAATTATGTTTTTTACTTTTTCAACCATGATTGATTTATTTTCTTTCTTTGGCATAACAGACATGAAAATTAGGCACAGGGCCTTTATTTTCATTTTTCCCCAACTCTAGAAAATTTTAATTTTTAATAACCTTACTTAATACATTTTATCAGAACTTAAATTCTGAACCAATTCCTTTGGCATTTTCATATTGAACAGAGTTGATCAGTTGAGAAAAATGAGTCTTATGATGAAATCTTTTTTTTTTTTAAGAGAGAGAGAGAGAGAGAGAGAATTTTTTTTTAATATTATCTTTCAGCTTTTGGCGGACATAACATCTTTATTGTATGTGGTGCTGAGGATCGAACCCAGGCCGCACGCATGCCAGGCGAGCATGCTACCGCTTGAGCCACATCCCCAGACCTTATGATGAAATCTTCATAAAATCATCATAAATCTCTGCATCTATGAATAGAAAATGACTACAAAACAGCATAGAAATCATTAAATCTGTCATGTTGAAATAAAGTACAGTGGAAAAGATTAACTTTTGGAAACTAAAGTCTCTTCAGGATGCCTAACAATGTGAGAAGTATAAAGAGACTGTCAGGTCTACTTTAAATCATAAAGTTTAGGTTAGTCCAAAGTTAGCCAACTAAAAAAAAAAAATCTCTCAAGCACAATCCCTTCAAATACAGTAGAATGTATAAAGACCAGACATAATTTAAATAATGAGTTAATGCAAAATATCCTCTATTATTCTGAAGATAAATAAAGAACATAAGTCAATTTCAAGTTACTATTAAAAATGAGCACAGGTCAATAAGCATATAACAAATGGGCAGAATATGAGATCAGAGCTTAAAAGTGATATGGAGTTGGGTTCAGCACCAATGGCTAGAAACAAAAACTAATCTTCTAAACTGTACTTCCCTAAAAGAATTAAAGAAAACAATGACTTTGCTGACATGTAACAAGTGTTCTATTTGAGAGCTGCTAACATTCAGCATCCTACTAGAATACAAAAAGTAACCACATGCTGAAAATCCCTGAAAGTGATATTTATTCATGATTAGTTAATTAGCTCTCTATACTTTAAAGATCATGTCACTGGCAGAGGGTGGGAAAGGAGTTTCTGATGATGACAGTGATGGCAGACAGTACAATGCCCGCCCCCCATCCCCACCCCCAAGTGCCCCAAATGTCACACCCTAATCCCCAAAACTTATAAATATGTTACCTAACATGGCAAAAGGGACTTTGCAGCTGTGATTCTGTTATAGATCTTGAGAAAAAGGAGATCACCTGGATTATTTGGGTAGGGCGGAAACAATCACAAAGGGTCCTCTAAGTGCCAGAGGGAACAACAGAGGAGGGCAGAGTGATGAGAAATGAGAAGTACTCAGTAACCTGCTGTTGCTGGCTTTGTAAATGGTGGAAGGGATCATAAGCCCAGGAATGAGGAAGCCTCCAACAGCTAGAAGAGATCAAGAAAAAGATTCTCTCCTGGAGCCTTAAGAAAGGAAAGCAGCCCTATTGACCTTTGATTTTAGCCTAGAGAGACCTGTTAGACTTCTAATCTACAGAATTGTAAGATAACAAATGTATGCTGCTTTAAGCCCATTAATTTGAGGCAATTTCCTATGGCAACAAGAAATGAACACAATGGTAAATTGCTATAAAAAGAATTATCAGGGCTGGACATATAGGTTAGTGGTAGAATATTTGCCCAGCATGAGCAAGACCCTGATTCAAACTCCAGCACCAAGAAAAAGAATTTCCTCAAAACAAATACAGAAAACACCTTTAAAGTGTAACATGATGTTCTGTGAAATACTCAGCAAATATGTTGATTTTGTTTGCAATACTCATAAAAGCACCTGTTCCCCTGTAAAAAGATATCACACAATACCTACCACTAGAAAAAAAAATTAAAAGTAAATAAAATGAACTTTGATCAAAAAGTAGATGAGAAAACAGAAAGATATTTTCAACCAAAGAAGAGGGTGATGAAAATTAAGTTGGAAATTTTGGTATTTCTTACATTTAAAAAGAGACCAACATTGTATTCTACTCATAGGTCAGCCAGAAGGCAGAAACCACTATTTCTTTTAAAGCTTATATTTACCTGATGATCCTCTGTGCAGCATACTGATGGAGGGAGCGAAACTGTGCTGACATATTTGCTAGCGCTGCCAAACAATTTGTGTGAAGGTACTTGTCCTGTTAGAACACAGCAAGTTTAAAGCACATGTCAAATCTTCTCTACATCTTAAGCAAGATTAACTAGGAGCAGTGTAAATTCAATTATTACTTATTTTAGAAAGTTCAGGTGCAACATTCCTTTTCTCTAGTTCCCAAATCCATAAAGTTCAGAGAAGTCAATGTTTTTCACAACCCATCTAGAAGCAACTAACACAAAATATTATGCCACTGAAGGTGTCCATCATTCCCAGCATGGTGAACACTCAAATAGTTTGCTGTGGAAATATTAATGTTAAATATAGTGTGCTGCTTCAGACCCTAATGATCACACGTAATATAATACATACACTATAATTACCTTCCTAAAATACAATGAATTCTCTATACCAAAACACATCTGGCTCCTAGGGTCTCAGATAATAAATATGAACATAGATCTACATTAGCCCTATAGAGAGAAATAAGCAAAAATATTTAAGTTAACTGGACCATTTAGCTATGACTTCTATACATTACTTTCTTTGATAATATATTGCTATAGACTAGAACTGAAATTCACTCATCAGTAGTACATACAGAATCCAGTAAAAATTTTTCTTTTACTCTTTCAAGTATTCTCTCTCTTCTACATTTCTTTCCCATCTGAATTCATATTTTCTCCTATTTACACCTTTTATACTTTGTTGTTGATGCTTTGAAAAAGGCAAATCATGTTATAGTTCAGCAAAGATACATAACTTTGATCTAAATGTGTTGCACTGCTTGTTTTCTATTTCATATAAAATATCTCTGCTAGTATAGATAGCCATTAAATATTAACAGACATTATCCAATAATCATGCAATGGAGTGACTATATGCTGATGTGTATTTTCCCACTGAATTTCATGAGAATTTTAGTGACCCCCAAATTAAGATCATTCTAAATTGTAGTCTTACTTATACTGTATGAATAAAAATTAAAGGAAAAAAAGCTGAGGAATACTTACTCTTGTCCTTGTCATATTGTACTGAATGGTTCTTATTACAACCAGAATCAGGAGACTCCCCAGTGAAATTTCAGTTAAAACCCGTTCTGAATACCAAGTAATATTTTTTAATATCTGTAACAGAGAAGAAAGGTTTAAGTAAAAAATAGTGCTTTAAGGAAAAAGGTACTGCTCCATGTCTACAGTTTTTGATAAGCTACAGCTTCACTCAGAAAGGTTAAACAGTAAATAAAAGTTAATTATGAGATTTTTTCAGTTCTAGCAAGTAAACGGAGCTAATGTGCTTGCTTCTTCCTTCTTAAAATAGAAGAGTCAAAAAAAATAAGCCCAACCCAGTCTGAAAAACAGAGGAAGAGATCATTAATAGACAAAAAGGAGATATATCTGAAAGAGATATGGCATATAAAAGTGACAGAAAAAAGTGATTTGAAAATAAGAAAAGATAGATGCCTTTTGAAAAGTAGAGCTTTCCCAACAGAGTTCAGAAAACCTCTCCAGGTATGTGTAGGAGAGAGGCCAGGAGCACAGGGAACCTGACTTTCAGGAAGGATGTGCAGCCACCAGCTGTGGCTGTGTGAAGCAGGCAGCTCTGGAGAGCAACTCCAGGCCTCAGGGAGAAAGAACTGTTCCTAAATTAAGCTGAGGTGTTTCCACAGTAGATCTGTACCATGGGTGTCAAGGAAGAAAGGAATTACACATACAAAAACTGGGCATGAGAGGATTCCCCCAGCAAATTGTATGCAGAAGCATATCTGCACTGTAACTCTGACTGGGGTCAAAGTAACTGTAACTTACCACTTCATGAATGGACCTATTGAAGCCATCATCTTCTGTAAGGATCAATAATATTATAAGGGCCATATATACATGGTGTGAATTTCTTTCTTCAACATGATACAGAATCTCAAGAATTGGTAAAACCTAGGGAATAAAAACCATAATGTACTATTCCAATACCTTACTCAACTGTTTTAAACCCTTTACACTTTTGTACTTTTTACATTAATATCATAGTTATATTTGAATTTAAAGGAAAAAAACATGCAAACCCACTCCTGACTACATGCACTTCCCATAAGCATAGCTAAGAAACCAAGAAAGGAAATCATCCCTAACTCTAGGAAGGTCTATGAAAGTCTATCCAACCTAGAGACTGAATTTTCAGAGAGCATTTAGGGTCAGGGGCTGAAATGTTTAAGAAATCACATCACCTTGCGCCAGCCAAAAAAGGGGAGAAAAGCCAGATGCCCAGAAATTCAAGAATGTTTTCATGCATATGCTTAGTTTCACTAAGCATATACATGTATTACAGTATGTATTTCAATGTTAATAAGTTAAACAGACTACTATAGCCCATTTTTTTCATGTATATTGAGGTTTTACTCTTCAGAGTATTTGTCCAGCATTTCATTTTATAATCCTGTTTCCATACAGAAAAATTTAGTCTATTTCAAATCATTACTTTGACACCTTCAATTTGTTCATTCTCTACTAATTAAGTAGATCACTAAATGTATCTATTAAATATGAGCTAATTAGCTGCAAAGTACTCCTTATATGAAACTACCATGAATACTCTCCAGTGGATGCAAGAAAACAAGCAAAAACTCTTATATTGTAAATCAGACAATAACCTGTAATGAGTTCACTGTACAAAGTTCCCACAGTGGTATGCAAAGCCATAAAAATAGATACATTCGGGAAGGTACACCTATGGTAGTTGCATATTACTCTTTTACAAGTTACAGCTGAAACTTTCTCTTATTTCTCTAAATTGTAAAGTGCAGATGCATGAACATCACTAAATTCAAGAACTAAATGCACCACAATAGTCATTGCTCTTTTTACTTTGTACACCCCAGGCATCTTTCTCTTTAGAGGTGATGTCAAATACAATATATTATACTCACATTTCACATTACCTAGTTAGCATAGTTAGATTCTGTATAGTCATTTAACTCAGCATTTGTTATTTCTGATTCTGCGGTTTTCAATAGATTTTTTGTGCCATGTCATTCTTGTTCTGGCTAAGCCTTAAGAAACACATTCATCACTACAGTGAATGTACTACAGGTATTACATACTGTACTACCTAACACACTCTTAAAACCCTGTACTTTACTGAACAAGACAGACAAGTAAATGGTATATTCAAACATATGAGCAATAATGCAGGAATATGTAATGGGTCCAAAATGAGTATGTTGGAATAGCGCTTGAATTTTTTCTTTTAAACATTTTTTATTGAGCTATAACTTACATATCATACAATCAATCCATCCATTTAAAGGGCAAAAGTCAATGATTTTTAGGATATTTATAAAAATGAGTTAACCATCACAATTTTAGAACATTTTTATCTCAAAAAGAAATCCCAGGCTCTTTAGCTATCACCCCAACCATCCCTCTTTTCCTACCCTGCCTAACACTCAAAGAAACTACTTTCAATCTCCATAAATTTTCCTGTTCTGGGGTTTCTTTTTTTTTTTTAATTAATTTTTTAATTTACATATGACAGCAGAATGCATTACAATTCTTTTTTTTTTCAATTCTTATTACACATGTAGAGAACAATTTTTCATATCTCTGGTTGTATACAAAGCATATTCACACCAATTTGTGTCTTTATACATATACTTTGGTTAATAATGTCCATCATATTCCAACATCATCTCTAACCCTATACACCCCCTTCCCCTCCCACCCCTCTGCACTATCTAGAGTTCATCTATTTCTCCCATGCTCCCCCTCCCTACCCCACTATGAATCAGCCTCCTTATATCAGAGAAAACATTCGGCATTTGGTTTTTGAGATTGGCTAACTTCACTTAGCATTATCTTCTTTCTGGGGTTTCTAATGAAGGGAATCTCATAAGATGTAGACTTTGGTGATTGCCTTCCTTCACTGAGCATGTTCCCACATAGTAGCATCCATCAGGATCTCATTCCTTTTTATGTCAAATATTATTCTACTGTACACACTTAATTTGTTGATGGACTTCTTGATTGTTTCTACTTTAGGACTATATTTCTACTCTACTTTAGGAATGCTGCTGCTATGAACATTTATTGAAAAGGTTTTTCTATAGGCAGGTTTTCATTTATTTTGAATATGTACTACCATTTACAGTGAATTGTTGGGTGATATAACTGTTTCAAGATCTGTCAGACTTCTCCAAAGCAGCTGCATGATTCCATGTACTAACAATGAATAAAAGAGCACATATCTACACATCCTTGCCAACACTTAATATTATTTAACTTTTTTTACTGTAGCCTTCAAGTGGGTAAAGTGGTATTTCACTGTAGTTTTCATTTCCATTTACCTAATCACTAGTGATGTCAAGTACTGTTTTTATGTGCTGATTATTAGCCATTTATATGTCTTCCTTGTAGAATGTTTATGCAAATCTTTCAAGCATTTTTAAATTGGGCTGTTTTTATTATTGAGTTATCAAGTTCTTTATATATTCAGACCCATGATTTGCATTCATTAATCTTGTTCTCACATCTGTGGACTCTTTTCACTTTCTTGATGGTATATTTTGAAGCACACAAATTTTTATATTGATGAAGTCTAGTTTATCTGTTTTTTCCTCTTGCTTTTCATGCGTTTGTTGTTATACCTAAGAATCATTTGCCAAATCCAAAGTCATAAAGTCTAACTCCAATGCTTTTGATGCGTTTTGAGTGAATATGGACATAGTTTGAAGCTCAACTCCATTCTCTCACAAGAGGCTCTCCAGCTGTCTCAACACCACTGGTTCAAAAAGACTATTATCCCTTCCATACTAGTCTTGATTCCGACTAAAAATAAGCAGACCATCAAAATAAGGGTTTATTTCTGAACTTTCAAATCACTTCCATTCATCTATTATGTCTGTCCTGTGGCAGTAAAGTCCTGATTACTGGTACTTTGTACATTTTGAAACAATAAGGAAGTGTGAATGTTCCACCTGCATTCTTTTTTAGGAATGTTTAGGCTGTTCCAGGTTCCCTGTAATTCCATATGAATTTCAGAATTGCCTTATCAATTTCCATAAATAAGTTGGCTGAGTTTCTAGAAGGTATTGTGTTGAATCCGTAAGTCAGTTCAGGGACAACTGCCACCTTCACAAAGTTAAGTACTATGATCCATAAATATGGGATTTTTTCCCATTTCTTTCAATAATATTTTCATAGTATAAATTTTGTACTTCCTTGGTTAAATTTATTCCTAAGTATTTTACTCTTTTTGATGCTACTGTGAATAGAACTATTTTCTTAATTTGATTTTTGGATTCTCCATTGTTAAGGAATAAAATTACAGTGGTTTCTACATATTGATTTCGTATCCTAATCCTATATCTTACAACCTTGCCAAACCCTTCTAATAGTTTTAACAGTTTTTTTTTTTCCCTGAGGATATATTAAGGTACTCTACACATAAGATCCTGACACCTGCAAATACAAATGTTTTACTCCGTACTTTCCCATTTAGATGACTTTAAGCCAGGCATGGTGGCACACACCTGTAATCCTAGTGACTCAGGAGGCTGAGGCAGGAGTATCACAAGTTTAAAGGCAGCCTCGGCAACTTAGCAAGACCCTGTCCCAAAATAAAAAATAAAAATGGGCTGGGGATGTGGCTCAGAGGTTGAGCAACCCTGAGTAAAATCCCAGGTACCCCCCCCCCCCCAAAAAAAAAAGGCAAAAGTAGGCATCTTTATCTTTGATCACAGGACCAAAGTATTCTTTCATCATTTAGTATAGTGTTAACTCTGGGGCTTAGTGACACCCTTTATCAGACTGAGTAAGTTCCCTTCCTGGTTTGTTTTTTATCATAAAAGAGTTTTTATCATGAAAGGGTAATAATTTTGACAAATGCTTTTTTCTGCATTTCTTTAAATGATCATGTGATTTTTAATTTTTACTCTGTTGACATGACATTAACTGATTTTCAGATGTTGAACAAAGCTTATATTCCTGGGATAAATCCCACTGGATATGATATATAATTACTTTTAGAACAGCACTTTAAATCTGAAAGAATTATTGAAACTGAGATCTGAAGAGTTATGGGAGTTGAGAAAAAGGGCAAACAGACTTCTGTGGGAAGAAGTATTCAAGAGAGAAAACCACGTCTAAACTTAGGAAATAGATCACATTGAGAGAAATTCAATTAATTGAGTATAAATAGAAAAGAACACAAGAACAATAATGCAGAAAAGAAAAACCCAAAAAAGGGATCTGTGACAAAATTAATGTAGTCTTTTGGCTACATTAAAGAATCAGAGTTTTAACTGAGGAAACTATGAAGACATGAAAAGACTTTACAGCTAGGAAGGGACATGATCATATCTGACATTAGTAAATTCACTTTGACTAACGGGTTGAGAATGTTAAAGACTGGCAAGACAGAAAGCAGGAAAGCCAGTTAAAGATATTGAAGTAATTGAAGAGATAAGCAGCTTAAACCACAGGAGTGGCAATGAAGAAAAAAAATTAATAGATTCCAATAGTATTAAGGTTGGGAAATCAAAAGGACTTCTTTGAATGTGGGGGGAAAAACAGAAGGGTCAAAGCATCTATCTTTCATGAACTATATGGATGGCTCATCAATGTGATAAAGAACACAGGAGTAAGAGAAGAAGGAAGAACAGGTCCTGGGGAGATAATGAGTGCAACTTTCACATGTTTGGGACAAGGTATCTATGATGAAGCCACTAGGGAATGTCTGGGGCAAGTGGGAACACAGATTTAAGACACAGGCAATGAGGAATGTAAATACAGAACTCAAAAGCTGTGCACATATAGGGGCTGGGGCTGTAGCTCAGTGGTAGAGCCCTTGCTTAGCGTGTGTGAAGCTTGGGTTTGATCCTCAGCACACATAAATATAAACAAATAAAATAAAGGTATAAAAAATACAATGACATCATTAA